AATAATAATTTTTAAATTTTAATTAGAATGGTTTATTTTGGTGTAAAGGTTAACGCAAATGATTAAGTTAAATTAAAAAAACATTTTTAAAAGTTATTGTATCCTAATATTTACTGTTGATAATCGTACTAAAATAATATATATATAATAAATGCTATTTTTAATATATATTAGGTAACCGATATTGGAGACTTCAAGTGCAAAATTTGCAAATCCAAAACGTATAAAACAAAAGGAGGCTTAGCACGACACAATAAAAACAAACATACCATAAAGAGTCTTACAGATATGCATTATAATGATTTTGTCACAGATATAAAAAAAATTGTTGCAGAAACTAAAGCTGATTTGTCAACAAATAAATGTTATCCTCAAGAAATTATTTCAGAAATAAAAGACTTTGAAATAAAAATAACAGAAAACTTTTTTGATGAAATAAGAAAAATGTCAAAAAAATTAAAATCATCTGGAAATGCTGAAAAGTATTATTCCAACTTTTATAGCAATATTGTTCTCTTTTCAGACACATATTTTAATCTAAAGAAACCTGCATCAACAGTATTTACAACAAAGTTATGCAATAAATTATTTCAGCATTTTCAAAGCTCTCCGTCAAAGAATGTTGAAGTTGAAGAAATTTCACCACGTGAAGTGGATGGATTAAAATATTTGTCTGGGTATGTTATAAGAAATCTACTTAAAAAGGCAAAAACAACAAAAAATTACAAAAGCCAGTACAATCAAGCTATAATTGCATTATTACTTCAAACAACTAAAGAAGTTTCAAGTTCAGAAAAGTTAATAAATACCCAAAACAGAGGGGGTTTAACAGCAGTATGTGAAGAATGCTATCAGATTTTCTTGCTAGCTGAGAAACATTTTAGACAAGAAACTGCAGTTGCTAACCTCCGAAATATTGAAAGTAAGAATTTAACAAAACACCTATTAAAGGATCCTAATATTATAAGTTTTTACAATGCAATCGTGGATGATGTGAAATTCGTGTCTATTGATAAGGAAATTAAGCTTAACTTGTTAGAAAAAATGATAGAACTTTATTTTAGAGTTCGTACATTTTCATTGGCTAAAAATATAACTGCAAAAAACAATGATCAAAGTTTTAAAGTAAAATCTTTAAGAAAAAGTATAAAACGTAAATCAAACAATAAATAAAGACTTAAACTTTAAACTTAATACAAATAATTGATATATTTTGTTATATGCTATGTTTATATTTAGATTATATTTATAGGTTTTTATTTCGTTTTGGTAACTTTTCATTATCAACAACACTCCAAGATACTTCACGTTTTTGACCATGACCACCTTTAGTATTTCCAGTAACCGGCGCAATTGATCTTTGCAATCGCAAGGTATTTGACTGGTAACCAAATTGATATAGTGTAGGGTTGTCATTTCTTTGACCTAAACTCCGTTGTCTACCAAAGTATTCCTCCAAAACGTCTTGATTGAATTTTTCAGTCAAAACAAACGGCATACCACTTTTTAATAAAAATTTTACCAATTCGATAACAGACATTACAGTTATTTGAAGTCCTTCGTATGTTTGCCAAGAGATAAACATTCTTCCTTTTGCATTGTTGGAAAAGTTACCAGGACGATTAATAATACACTCTTTCCATTTTTCTAGATAGCATAAAAATGTATTCTGTAGCCATGTCAAACGCTCGTCATTAACATCCGTGTATGGTAATAAAAATGGTTTGGTTTCATTATCCCTTCACTGCTGTTTCGCACATTTAAGCAATCAAAAAAACTATCTAACATTTCACAAAATTTTGCAGTTCCATTTGTATCATCAGGGTAATAATTTTTTAAAATGTTACTGACACTACTACTTAAAACCTGGGCTGCAAGTCTTACATTCATAACAGAATAAGCACTAAGTTTAATATGATCCTGTGTTAACTTTGGTATAATTTTTAACCCATTTTTCATTTCGTCATTGACTATTCTTGTGATATGGTACCAAATCAATTGTTGTCCATCATTCCAAAGACTTCGTGTACCCCTTCCATCCCCTGAAATAAAAAAAGATTGAATCTTAATATAACACAAAATTATTGCCTACAATTCAACTCTCAATCTAGGGAGGTTTAAAACATTGCATAGCCCTTCTAATCTTAGCTAAATAATTAAGCATTTCATACTTTTTAATATAAAAATCTGTTATTTTATTATTACTTTCCAGCAAGAAATAACCATAACCTGATAATTTTCTACTGGAAAGGCCTGTAAACCAATACACTTTAAATATAATTTACATACCTGAGTGATATAAACAGTTCCTTGCTGTTTTGATGAGATGGGGAGCATCAGCAAAAAACCATAAGTACCGTTCAGGGGCATAAATATTAATGCATCGATGAACAACATTACAATCTAATTTGTCATCAAACATACTATGCATTCGATAGAACTTTCTGTTTGGTGCTGCACCATCCGATACTGCAGCTATAACATATAATTTACATGTCAGTTCTAAAACTCCAACTGCTTCCCAGAAAGTTGGCATTAGTTGAAACGAGGTGAGACCTTTAGTAGCAAAGTGACATAAAGCAAACTTTAAGTCAGAAGCAATACCTCGAATGAAGTAGACCAGAACATGGCTTGCTAAAGAATCTTCCTTTTGAAAAGTAGAATATAAATCAGGTTCACCTAAATCTACAAAACCTATAATGTCACCTGTGTGTTTATTAAAAACAAGTTTTTCTTGTATTTTTACTTCATCAAAAGATAACGTTACATATCGTTGGTAGCCAACTAGGTTAATACTAATTTTATTCAATTCTTCAATTACGGGAGGATTTAATCCAGCTTTCGGTCGAATGAAATTCTTATAATCTCTTAGAGTTCTGCGACTTGGTAATGTTAGTACATTTGATGAGCGCAACTCATCATAAGCTGAGGCGGACTTTGAGGCAAGTGAGAGGCAAAACCGTATTATCATAGGGTGATACTTTATTGAGCCAAAATTTTTATTACACATTTTCTTTTGCTGGTCCCAAAATAATTTCATAAAGGGAGTAGCTTTTTCGTAGTTACTACTCATTATTTGATTTAAATCATCAACAAACCCATCATCAATAGTAATACCTTTAGAGTCTATTTGAAAATTTATTTTTTCTAAATCACTTGTTAGCTGGGCACATCTTAGACGTTCTTGTTTTAATGCTAATAGAACGCGAACAGGATTTGTTTTACTAAGTGGAGCTTTTCGAAGAGCAGGTGTGGCTAACTGATGTTGTTTTTTTATTTTAATCATTTTGTTCTTTTTTAGTGTGTGGGTACAAAATGAACAAACAGAATTTATATTATCAGACTCACTAGTATGTAATATAATACATGATTTTGCTCTTTTAAACCTTTCATTTGATACACGCATACCATCTGTACTTGCACTTTCTAAATCAAATTCCATTGGAACAATATGATCAACAAAATCATCATTATTTATATTTCTGATGTTTTCTATAATACCAGAACAAAATCTTAATGTACATATTTTGCATAAAAGTTCGGTAACTGTAGTGTTCAGCATTGATCGTGAGTATAATTTATAGATTAAGTGAGTATCTGGCAAGAGCCACCCAAATACAATAATGGTGAACGCTAAACTGTCATCTACTACAACTTCATACTTAGGTAACAAATACAAAGGCAATAACTTTTTAAATTTGATATTGTTTTCATTACATGTCATCTCCCATCCACTAAGTTTTAACTTTTGGGTTTTTTTCTGTAAATCAATTAAGTTTGAATAATTTATTAGCTTCTGTGGGACAATATCTTTTACAATACTTATGTGTCTTCTAGGTACCTTTTTTTCTTTTTCATGTGATTTTATGGGTAGGTTAACAGTTGGTAAAGCCTCTAAGCGTAATGATTTCCTTCCAGTTTCTGAAATTCAACATATTTCAATAAAGTAAATATAAATTATCACACAAAAATAAGAACAATACTGAGAAAAAAAGAGAATATGTTATCCACAAATTTATATAAAGCCACAAATACTTTAAGCTTTATGAAATTTATTTGTTTATTGTACTTAAACTTATCAGAGTTGCCCAAAATTAAAGCTTTTAAAATTAAATAACACAGAGTGTAAAAGCAAATTTAAACAACTAAATATATAAAAGTATCCTTACTTGTCAATTCAATATCTTCTGCTAAAAAATGATTCTCACATATATAAATATTGCCCTTTGAGAGTCTTTCTTTCAAATCTTTGTCAAAGTCTCTATACTGAGTGATAATAGCTAACAATCTCTGTCTCCATTTTTTATAAAAGTCTCCTGTCCTTATAGGAATTCTGAATAAGGTGATATCTTTGTGCTTAATAGATCTTGAAACTGTACATCCTGGTAGACAACAATTTGAACCTGGCATTTTGGATTTATCTTTTAGACTTTTTTTAAATATAGAATATAAAGAAACATTTTAAATTGAATAAAGTTTTTAAACCATAGACAATAGAAAGGAACCAATATTATTTTAATAATAAAGAAAAATAATAATTTTAATATATTAATTTAAAATAAACATCAAAATCTTTATTAATTCGTAACTTTCATTATAAAAGTTTTGTTTGTTTTGCACTAGATTTGATCACGTGACTTAAAAAAAGCGAACAATAACATACGACAATAGCTTTTCCAGACCAGGGTTTATTTCTATTGACTATGAAAATATCTTACGCCTCCAAAAACCTTTTCAAGGCTTAGAAAGTTTGCATAATCAAACAAGTTATTTTGAAAAGAAAGGGTATTATATAAAACCAAAATCATACCCAATTGGTCATTTTATAAACACTCAAAAAACAGCTAAAGGAGTAGTTTGCTCAACTTGTATACCAACATGGCAATTTGTTTCATTAAAGCAGTGTCTTAAAGTTTTTCTTTGTCTTCCTGGTGTACTTGATGAAATAAACTAATAATTTAGTTTCAGATTTTAAAGATGGAGGCAAAATCACTTTAAAGATGAGGCAAAATCATTTTAAAGATGAGGCAAAATCACCAATTACGTCGTCAATATGGTCATTCCCAAAATACTTTTGTAATTCCAGTTTTTTGTTTTTTGATGATTTAGAAACTGCTAATTCATTAGGTTCACATAGCACTGTTCACAAAATTGGAGCTTTGTGTACAATTCTAAAATGTTTAAAACCACTACATAATTCAAAACTTGAGAATATTTTGTTAAGTGCAGTTATATATTCTTCTGATCGCATTAAGTATTCGAATAAAAATGCATTTTCTATATACATAGAAAAAATGACAGAATTAGAAACAAAAGGTTTTACTATAAAAATAGATTGCAATAAATTTAAAATATATGTTGTTCTTGCTCAAATTATTGGTGACAATCTTGGTTTAAATGGAATATTAGGTTATGTAGAAAGTTTTACTGCAACATACCCATGCAGAATATGCAAAATGAAACATAAAGACTTTGACAGTGTTTTTGTTGAATCTGTCGAATTACTTAGAACTAGAGAATGTTATGATTATGACGATTCTTTACATAATTGTTTCCTAAATGGTATAAAGGAAAAGTGTTGCTTTAATAAAATTCCATCATTTCATGTTAATGATAATATTTATTGTGATATTATGCACGATTTGTTAAAAGTTTTTCAAAAAATGTTAAACTATCTAGTATTTCAGAAAAAGTTCTTTAATCTAGGTGACATAAATAGCAGAATGAGAAATTTTTCATATGATCACTCGTCAATTTCTTCATGTCTCACTGAGTATCAAATAAAAAATGGTTCAATTAATATTGGTGCAATTGAAATGCTAAATTTGGTTTTAAGCTTTCCTTTATTAGTTGGAGATTTAGTTCCTTTTGAAGATAATGTTTGTGTTGTTTTTTTATTGTTAAGACAGATTGTCCTTTACTCATTTGGTTTGTATTTTAGCAAACCTGATTTATTACATTTTGGTTCTCTCATTACTGAATTTTTACAAAAATACTGTTTTGCATTTAAGTGTGGCTTAACTTTAAAGTTTCATAACCTTATTCATTATCCACGTATTATTAAAATGCTTGGCCCGCTAAGTCATGTGGGTAATGCATTGCGAAGGTAAATTAAGAGGTTTTAAGAGAACTGCTTCGTCTGTAGGAAATTTTAAAAATGTTTGTAAAACAGTAGCTATTAGACACCAAATGGATCAGTCAACTCGATTTATGGCAAAACATGGCTTAAAAAATAATGAATTTTGTGTTACTAAAACTGAACCTATTTTACTATGCCATGTGATTGATGGAAAAACTATATCAGAGTTGATTGATAATTATGGGTTGTACAGAGAAATTTTTCAGACAAAGTGTGTTTCTGTTAACTTTGTTAGCTTTAAAATTGGTGATGTTGTTATATATGCAGTTGAAGAATTATATCCTGCATTTTGTCTAATCAAACAAATTTTCGTATCTGATACTAATTTATTTTATTTGTCAAAAGTTGTTTATTATAACTGAATGCTATCACTTACAATCTTTTGAGGTTGACATTGAAACAGAATTAATTGTTTTAAATTGCTCTCACTTTGATACCATTATCTCACCTTGGCCGTTGAAACTAGGAAATTTAAATAAAAGTAAATACTTGTCATTAATGCACAAAATATAACTATTGATCCTGGCAGCATTTAACTTAGTAGCACTTAAATTTATTTAATTTTTTTCTTTTTAATAAAAAAAAGTTGTGTAAGTATTTTATATTCTTTAGGGCAAAATTGAAAAGCCTTGTTTTTCAAAGGAGAAATGACATACTACCTATAAATTTTACTAACCATGTCTTTACTCCAAATTAAAAAGATACTATATCTATTTAATTTAGAGTAAAGACATTGTTAGTAGTATTCTAAATTTTTAGTTATACTCATTCTAAATTTGTGTCACGAAAGGAACTATAGGTACCTTCAAGGAAACAAGTCTCAATTGTTATAACAAAAAAATTTGAAATTCTTTAAACAATGTCTTTACCTTAAACTAAATAAGTTTTATAAGTAGTATGTAAGATATTATTGCCATCTGAATTCATCTGAACATTTTTAGTTTTTTCATTTCTATTTTAGTTCGCAAAGGTTACTTTCCTTTTGAAAAAACGAACTTTTCAATACTACTCTTTTTTTTGTTTCTCTAAGTTTTAAACAAATGTAATTTGTTTTGTTTTTAGTGAACTGATGTTAATTATTTATTTAAAAACAATAAATTATATTATTTTATATTATAATATATAACCCACAAAATTATTATATTATAGATAAGTATTATTTTTGCTATAACGTCTAAAATGATATATTTACATTACTTCATTTATGGGTTTCCTTATTCATTTAGTGTTGTTTTTTCTAAATAATTTTATATAATCAAATAAAATACTAGATTATAAAATGATTAAGTAAAGTTGTTTTTCTGTTACTTTATTTTTCCTCATTTTTATAGTGTTATTAAAAATGAAGGATAAAAAAGTGAGAAGTAGAATGCAATGTCTCAAAGCAGGATGTGATTGTGATGAATACACAAAAGAGAAAGGTTTTGATTTGTGTGCCTATTGTGATCATGCACCAGTTTTACATAAAGGTATTTTGAACAAGTATTTTTATATTATAACATTTCTAAATAATTATGGAAATATTACATATAACACAATTTTGTATACTTTAGTGGAAGACAATTTGAATCTTGTTGAAGATATGAGTTAGCTCATTTCTCTTAGAGCAATGCAATACTAAAATACTAAACACGTTATCCAGTACAGTTATCTTTTTATACTTTTTTGTCATGTGTTTAAAAATTCACCTAACAGTAAAAGTGGTAAAAGTTACGAATAGCAAATCACCAAATTACATGTTACTCGTTTTTTTGTTTTTAATATTATATACATAATATTTTTATCAAAAATATACCTAATAGTTTATGAATAATATTTAGCCGCTCTCGGTATGTCAATCGTGTTATTTGAACCCCAAAACTGTAAGAAAGAAAACGGATATGCTAACTTTGGTATTTGTCTTACATATTAATAATAAAAGATTTAAAAGAGGCTATAACATTTTTAAAAATACTTAAACACTTGATTTTTTTATGTAATAATGTTTCTCACTATCACAATACTAGTAATACTGTTTGCATCCTATGTGAATAATGCAACCTATGTGAATTTGATTATAGAATCAGCTACTTTGAGCCAAAGTGAAATAGACTTCAGTTTGGACAATAACAAGGTAACAAGCCCATTCAAGAATCAGTGTATACAACAAGCTAAGCCATTTCAAGATACAGCTGGTAAAATAGTTTTTGCATCAAAAATTGTACTTCATCATAAAAACAATACTCTCTTTGGGGTTTGAAATATTTTTCTTTATAATGTTTAACTATTTTTATAAATTCTGTTAAAGAAAATATTATAATACTTAATTTGCATTATTGATAACATATCATTTGTATCATAAGTATGATGATTTTAATTATAAATTATATTTTGTTTAGTAACACTTAAATATTATTTATAAATTTAATAGAATGGTTTAGACCCCATCCTGAATTCTTGCACAGATGGGATTATTGTGTTAAGTGCTTTAAATCTAACCTTTAGTTTACGCAGCAAGTTGGCTAGAATAGCAGTCAACCATATTATTCAAAAGAAAGGATTGCAGTAAGTAATAAGTATTCTTAATAAGCTTCTTCTATATAATATTTTTAAACATTAAAAAAATTATATAGAAGAAGCAATTCAAGATGACCTTAATTGGCTTAAATTTAATAGTTAACCATGGACTGAAGTGTGCCATAAATGGAAATCAACTTCAAAATTTAGGTTGAAATGTTTTCATCTGGCACCAAAGACATTCCAAATTTTAAACTTCTTTTGGATCTAAAAGCAGATGCATTGGTAAGTATTTTAAATATTTGTTATGTGTTATTTCATATGTCCATATTTCACATACTAAATGTTTGCCACAGAAATACAAAATAATATCTTACCTTTTATAGGTAAATATCGATTTTACTCAATTGAGTATGCAAAAGAATTATGAGCATTGTAGCAACTTTATGTTTCAAAAAATTCCACTACATGCAAAAAAATTGATAGGCTTAGTTGCCAAGAAATATTCCATGCAAGATGTTTAGTGTTTTATTTTTAATAAAAGTTTATTAATTAGCATATATAGTATGATTAGCATAATATGATTAGCATACATATAACACAGTAGCATAATATGATAAGCATACATATATCAATGACAGCTTAGTCGGCAATCTGACAGACGGACAGTTTTTAAGATGGCGGAAAATTACCTATGTTCATACACCTAACTGACAATGGAAAAAACATATTTATACATTCATGTGTATTATATATGTATATATCAGGGATTATCTTTTTCCAGATATTCCCGGAATTCCGGATATTTTTCAAGATTAGTTTTTCCGGATATCCAAAAGGTTTTCTATACATACAAGTTTAAGTATATATTTGTGTAATATATTTGATTTTTAAGGCTTTTTAGTCACTCATACAAAAATTAAAGAAATTCTCAAAAAAATTGAGATACAACTCAGCTAAAAGAAAATTAAGAGGAAAACAAGGGGAAAAAAAATCCAGATATTTTCCGGATATTTTAAGCAAATAATTTTCTGGATTTTTTAAATACGACCTGGATATATAATACAGGGGTAGAAGATGAGACAGCTGCTCTTTTGGCTATTGTGCGATTGACATGCTGCAAATGTTCCATCCATTTATGCAAAGAAGCAAAGAGAAAATCCTGGACTCCTAGTGTTAAAGAATGTGGCGAATCATTTCTTTTTCTGCCAATGTAAATTAAATATAAATAAAATACAAAAGTTTTTATTCACTAGTTATTATTTAAAGACACTAAAATTTATTAAATATAAAAATTATTATAATAACTAAGTTGTTACTTAAGTTGTAATTGCTTAATTATTATTATTTCTTTATTTTTTCAGTCAGTTGAAAATGCTGAGCAATCAATTAATAACATCAGGATCTTATATAATGACCTGAAGCTGACACTTCAACCTTTGGTTTATCTTATTTGGATCTTGGATAAGGAATACAATATTGCAAGTTTTCCAGCTTGAATGTTTTTTGCAAATATATATATATTGTTTTAATTGCCCCGATTTTGACGTATCATGCCCGAAAGCAAGTGAATTGGCTTCTGAGTTGAATTTATAAGTTTAGTTGACTGTCTTGAATTGTTTTAAGTATAGACTGTATAGTTGCATAATGCGTAAAAAAAAAAAAATGTTTGTAGATGCGGTAATAATACAAGCTAAAACAAATGTAAATATTATGTTTTTTTTAGAGTTATATTACCTAAACTTTAGTTTTTGAGAGAAAGTTCCATTTTCGAAAGTTCCATTCCATGTCTTCGAAATCAAAGAAAATTTATTGGTTTTTTTACACGCAAAAAAAAAAGGCAATTTTAATGAAATTTACCAAAATATTTGGTTATTTCAACAAAAACATTTGGTGAATATTTATGCACCAAATATTTTTAGCAAATTTCACCAAACGGATTTGGTGAAAAATATTTCACAAAACCATTTTGTGAAATTTACAAAATCATTTTGTAAAATTTACAAAATCATTTTGTGAAATTTACAAAATACATTTTACCAAATTATTTGGTTACTTTAACAAAAACATTTGGTGCATAAATATTCACCAAATGTTTTTGTTAAAGTAACCAAATTTTTTGTGAATTTCACAAAACGCTTTTTGCACCTATAGCTGCAGGCTATAAGATAGTCGTTGTAGCAACACTCCACGCATGTTATACAGTAAAAAATTAAAATAAAATGTTCAGAATGTTTATATATATATATAAAAACATATGTTTTTAAAAACATTCCGTATGTTTTTAAAAACATTCCGTATGTTTTTAAAAACATACGGAATGTTTTTAATAACATTCGGAATGTTTTTAAAAACATTCAAAATGTTTTTCTATTTTTTTAATTTTAAAAGACATTCTAGTCTTTTAATTTGCGTTTTTTTAAATCGTGATTTTTTAAAATAAAATTTAAATTTAATAAGTTTCCTTAAATAAATTAATGCATTTTGTTGTAATCTGTACCTAATTTTGTATTGCTAAATGTCATATATGTATATATATATATATATATATATATATATATATATATATATATATATATATATATATATATATATATATATATATATATATATATATATATATATATATATATATATATATATATATATATATATATATACATACATACATACATAATCATAATATTCATTAGGATCATAGAACTGTTATGAAATTAACAAAACAACATCAGCAAGATCTATTGGTTTTCTAATGGATTTAAAGAATTCTATACAACTAAGTTATATCATGTAAAAAATTACTCAATGGTATAAGCCTTATTAGAAACTATAGGCTTTAAACAATTTTTTTAATACTGTAGGATACAGATAAAACTTCAAAAGTAATCATGAAATAATAATGTAGTTAAGTATAGAGCACCTGTAGATAAAAAAAGTACAATATTAATTTTTTTTATTGCATATTTAAAAGATTCTGATATGTTTTATTAAGTATAAAATCATATAACAACATGAGGATTTCTAGGATTCATGATAATAACAAGTTTTTATAAAAACATATGGTTGTCAGTATAATACAATATTAATAAAATCCATTTTAAACACATAATATAACTTTTTAATATACCGAATACAATATAGAGACATTTTGAAAATGTCTACTAATGACAAAATTAGCGATGGGAAAATAATATAAGAACGCTAAAATGAAAAAATTATAGCATTTACACTCTATGCAGTATTTATAAATCAAACAACTCTCGCTGTTATAAATAATTTAAACTAACTTTACAAATATTATTATTGCATGACGGTCGTACTTTTTTGTATAAATTTTTAGTCGTTTATTTTTTACTTGCTGATATTTTACATGATGGTTTTTTCCTTTTTACGTCAAAATAGCAAAGTTTTTTAAATATACTTATTTTAAATTGATTGAAAAATATTTTGTTTAGATTGAATTTAACATGAATTATATGATTACACGGAACATGATTATTATGAGCAACAAAATTATAATTTGTCAAATTAGTATTTGAATAAATTGAGGATACATACATACATATAAATATATATATATATATATATATATATATATATATATATATATATATATATATATATATATATATATATATATATATATATATAATATATATATATATATATATATATATATGATTTAGTGTATTAGGATTTACTAAATCATCCTCAATTTAATAATTTTTATTAATAAAATCAGTTTTTGTCTTTATATAATTAGATGTTTTATATTTTGCAATGAAGATAACAGTTACTACATACGTTATTGCCAGCTGTTGCCCTGTGACAATATTGCTGCATGGATTTGGACTTTTTCTTTTAATAAAAGCAAAAAAACTGGTCATGGACTCTACTCAACGCACCATTATTTTTCATCTTTGTGTGTCTGAACTTTGTTTAAATATAACACTGTTTACTTTAGCCTTGTTAGATTTTACTTTTATAAAAGCACCTGTTTATCTTTATTACTTGCTCAGAACATTTGTAACTGCGTATTATTGTACAAACATCTGGCTTACATTTGATCGTTTTTTACACACACAATTGACCATTAAATACCCTGCGTATTGGTCAAATAAACACACTAAAATTTCTGAGTTCTTTTTATGGTTTTTCAGTTTTGGGTGTGGTTTTTTAGTTTTTATTAAATATAAACAAGCACTAGTGATAACAGATCTTACATTTGATGCTATAATTTTGGTATTTCCAACATTTGTGTACGTAAATGCAATTTTGCTTTCAAGAAAAATGAAAAACGGTAAAAAAATCAAACGAAAAGGGTTCTTATTAACAGTGATGATAGTATCGAGCAATATAGTTTTAATTGTTATACCGCATTTGATTTTATCTACATATCGGTTTTTAAAAATAGAAAAAAATATCCCAACTCTCTTAATGATAATATTGGATCTGGTTTTAGTTTTAGGATATTGGAGCCATGCCGTACTTTATATATTGATGTGTCCTAACGTTTGTAATACTTTAAATGGATTTTTACATATACGAAAATCTATAATCCAAAAAAAAAAAGAATTTTCAGAGGCAAAACGAAAGATTTTTCTAAAACAAGATTCTCCGAAAATTCTACAACATATTGAAACTAAGATTTTAATGTGAATTAAAATAATTTATTTCATTTATTAAACAATTTTTTATAACCAAATAAAATGATTTTTTTAGAAATTATATCTTATTTATTTATAAATATTTTGTCAAAATTAAAATGTGTGAACAAAATGCATCTTTTACGAGTTTTAAAGACTTTTAAAGACTGAAAATGAGGTTTTAGTTTTGGAATTGTAAAAAACAAATTAAAAGGTACCAATACATTTTTTTTTTTTTTTTGCTTTTCAGTTTCGCCGTTTAATTATGTAAATGCATTTAATATCTAAACATTAATACAGATGGGGCAAGAAGAATTCGCAATTTGTCTCCAAGCCACGAGAATAGATTCCGTAAAAGATAAATAGTTACATACAGCATATATAATTGTTCCTAATATACATAAAATAAGACTTTCTTCTTTAAAAGATAAAACAAATAGTAACAATGGAATAAAGAAAGAGAAAAAAGAAAAAAAAAATAATAATTTTTAGACTATGAAAATATCACAAAAATTTCATACACTTTTAGTTAATTGATCCATTTTTAAATATAGCAAACAATATTTATTAAATTTAATTTAAAATAATAAAATAACTAACAAATTTGTAAGAAAAAAAGTAATAACTAAATAAATATATAAAAATAAAAATAAATTTGTACAACATAAAACTTACAATAAAATTTATACGTTTTAACTTTAGAAGAAATAAAATAAAAAAATAAAATATCAGTTAAACACTATTAAAATAGAAGTAAAAAAAAGATGGTTGTTAATTAAGATTACAAACTAATTAAAATTATTAGTCAAAAGAAAAATTGATAAGAACCTGAATCTTTCCATAAATAAAAAAATATATTTAAGCATTATTCAACCAAAGCGAAACTCGGTTGACTAAGATAAACTTTAAAATAAATAGAAAAAGCTTATCTTTACCACCCCCATAACTTCGTAAGAAGTTACGCACTACGTCACTAACCAAAACATTTGTTTTAATTTTGCTTTGAATTCGTTGAGTCTCAAGAGTTTTAAGTTTATTCGAATTTTATTCCATACTATTGGTCCTCTAATAGACATTAAAAACCAGTTACTATTGGTCCTCTAATAGACATTAAAAACCAGTTACGGCAAAAAACTTTTAGGCTGAAGTGTTGTTCAAGTATATGGTTAAGTATCTATTCTTATTAATTATGAATAATGAATTAAAAATGTTAAGAGTTATTTTTTTATTAACTTTGAAGGTAAAAATCGAAAAATTATAAATGTTTAGTTGGTAGACATTGAGTATATTCAGCTTTATAAATGGTTCTTTCGAATGTGTAAAACGGCCTACTTTTTACTTTACTACACTTTAAGCGTAACTAATTACACTTTAAGTGTAACTAATTACAATTTAAGTGTAACTAATTACACTTTAAGTGTAACTAACTACACTTTAAGTGTAACTAATTACACTTTAAGTGTAACTAACTACACTTTAAGTGTAACTAATTACACTTTAAGTGTGACTAATTACACTTTAAGTGTAACTAATTACACTTTAAGTGTAACTAACTACACTTTAAGTGTAACTAATTACACTTTAAGTGTAACTAATTACACTTTAAGTGTAACTAACTACACTTTAAGTGTAACTAATTACACTTTAAGTGTAACTAATTATACTTTAAGT